AAACATTTATTCGGGAAAGCAATTCGGGCGGCCGGATCCGCAGCCGGCAAAATTAATAATTTAATACCGCTTTATTTATTTCGGCAGCTCGACTGGGCTAATTTCTCCGGGAATGCCGGCGAGGCCGATCCCGGAACGAGAGCTGGGAGAATTGGAGTGTTTCGGTGTAGGGCTGGCTCGGGCTGTGTCCCCAGATATCCCGGACGATTTTATGCTTTATGGCTGGGATTATTTGTGTCAAATACTCTTTTGAGGGTAATGTATTCCCAGTATTTATGTACGATTCGATGGGACGGAGAGATTTACGATTTGGGACGACGTGAATGGAGTGGACACAGGAAAAAATAAACGTCGTATATGAACGTCGCTTTAAACGTGCGGATTTTCAATATATCACGGACAGCTGACGATCTATTAAAACGTTTAAATGACTTTATTTATAACCTTTTTGTGCCATTCTGCTTGAAGTAACTTGTGATAATTTTCACAGCTCCATTCAAATAATTACGATTAAAATAATTGTGACAGCATCCCACACAAAACACAACATATTAAAACGATGTCATTATGACGTTCAACGTTTCAATAACGACGACATGAACGAAATAGTAATAGAAACAAATAATAACGGTACGTTATCTACAAATTGTCATTTTATAATAAGTATAAACTTATGAATATCCTTCCAATATACATAACTAGGGCTGTCAGAATTGAGCCGAAGGACATAGGCATACGCAATATTTATTAAAATGCAACAAATTAAATAGTCCACAATACACCACCATAAACACCAACGGATTAATTACGCAACATCCGCACGATAACAAAGGCAACATTATACTAACGTGAGGTAAACGTGAAAAGCAATCTGAGGCAGCGGCTCACGCATGTCTCGGTTGACTCGCATGGCATGCCAGTGAATTGCGACTCTCTCTGACAGCCGTATACATAACTGACAGCAGGCGATATATTTACGTGTTACAAACGTCATATTTAAATGAACACATTTTAATGACATTAAATATGAAAAGTATTATTTTCGTGACTAGATACCAATGATATTGATTAAATTCTGATTTCAATTAGATAAATGCTATTGCAGCAAACACCACAAATTGTACACTATTAAAATGATGGCATTTGCAATGTTTAAGGTTTCAATAATGTTGAACATACAAAATATTGTCTCTAAATATATTCTCTGATTAGATAATGTTAAAACAAACACAGGTACAACATTTAATCGTAAAATTTCAGTAAACGTTTTTTTACTACTGAAATATAATTATATTTATATTTATTATCCATGATATTTATGTCAAAATATTCCAGGTTTTCAATAAATATATTTCTATAAACATTAATGTGACTATTTTTTACAGCTTTACAACTTTAGTGAATTAAACATATATATTGAAATTTATATTTCCATTACGATTTTTAACTATTCTTCAAAACGATCAAATGATTTTAAAACGTTTAAGTTATTGATAATAACGTTATATTTTGAAAACAATAAATTTTTATAAACCTTAATATTATATTATTTCTCCCATATTACAACGTTTGTGATTTAAACGTGTTACTATTATAGTGATATTATGCTTCGATTTTGATTTTTAGTTTTTCTTCAAAACGATAAAACATCTAACGTTTAAATATTACAATGTATAAAGTACACATCAAATAGCTACAGTTTCATCAAAGAACAATAAATAAACAACGTTTCTATATAAGTTATCTTGGTTGATATTTTAAAACGTTTAAATTATTGATAATACGTTTACATCTTGCCATCAATACGTTTATTATAAACTTCAATATTATATTATTTCCTCACATGATCCAACGTTGTGATTTAAACGTATAGTCGTCGTTTTTAGCTCTTCCTCAAGATAATTTAAACGTCGTAACGTTTAAATGTTGGGATATTAGAACTCATAGTACACACATCAGAGAGCTATCAATTGTAACAAAATATAACATTTACTCATACAATGCCACTGAACTGAATAACGTCCATCCTATTTTTATTTGATAATTTAAAATTATTGATAATAACGTTTATATTATATTGCAATGTTACAACCGATGCGTTTTTATAAACATGAAAACGATTTTATTTTCTACAGAGATTATGATTAAAGCGTGTTATTATTAAAGTAATTACAATTTACATTGTTCCAACTTTTAACTTTTCTAACGTGCTGTTTAAACGTTTTCTACTATTGAATAACGTTTATCTGATTTAAACTATAAAACATTCCATTTTATTGCAGCAACATATGCTTGTACCAACGTTGCAGTTTCACAATCAATACATTTTTGTAAATTTTATTTTCTATATTTTTTATTTAAACGTCTTTAAACGTCTTTTCTATATTTATGATTTAAACGTATTATGATTTAAACGTGCTATTTTTAAACCAGTTCACATTTTTACTGTTTAATTTTTCATGACGTTTTCATGTAATTACTGCACTATATCACTATATGTAAGGCGTAGCACCCTGTACGTATAAAGCTCTCTGCCATCCGACTCTCTGGCCTGTCGAAAACGGGCCCGCAGAGTCTGTGTGCTAGAATATTTATGGGTAAGTCAAGTGCAGCGCTGCCGGGAGAGAGAAGTGTGTTCTACTCGGTAGTCCAGAACGGGGGTTGCCGTCCACCCCCGTGACGACGAATGTTTTGTGCGGCAGACAAAAGAACAGGAATTTCAAGAGTGCAGGGCGCGACCTTTGGGTATTTTAGTTGAAAACGTAACTGACCTTATTAGCTCGGTAGGAAATGTCGGGAGAATTTTTTTTGTGCCTCTGTTAAATGTCAGTGTGATTTTTTAGTTTAATATAGCTTAAATGAAAAATCATACGCATTTTAAATTTTTACTATGCTTTTGAATTACGTTGTGACATTAGTCATTATTTTCCTCTTAATTTATTCATTTTTACGTTAACAAAACGTTTCTCCTTTCCCACAAACCATATTTTAAGAATGCGCACACTGTCCCTCCCTTTTTTTGTACAATAAAAAAATATATCAAGCACGAATCAATTAAACATAGTTTTAGAGCTGGTCAATTTCAATAACGCAATTTATTCTATCGTTAATGGTGATCTAATGGTTGAGGTCAATACCTTGATTTCGATAAACAACAACTATTTATTATAGTTTTAAGATTATTATATTAATCTAGACTAACACTTGTATTTCTATCATGTTCAGATTGAGATATCAACGAAAATAACTTTATTATTGTACAGGATTACAAAACAAGAGAGCACGACAAATATATAATTAGTTTCAATATTTTTGATAACATATTTAAATTTGACGTCAACAAAATCATTTTCAACACGTGCTCAAGATATATTTCTATCTCCACAGCTGAGAGATTTCATGATTTCTGTGAATTTGAAATATATACTTTTATAATTATTTTGTTAAATTCTACATTTAGGTGGCCAGTAACAGTAACAAAGGCAGCTCTTGCCTATCTCCTAGAGTTTATCAATCTCTCGATAGATCCGTGGGTGGTGAATTCCGTGAATCTACCACTAATATGCTCGTAAACAAGGCAGACGTCTCGCCTACCGCCGTTCTCTCCGAAGGACGAGGTATGCAACCTGCCAGACGTGACCTAAATCGACCAACAATGACTCACCCAGAAAATGCACTGGCATAATCAATCACCAATTCTGAAGCAATTGGCAGAGTGACGTCCAGGTATCTCGATTATGCAGTTCTTTATTCTACGAGCACGATATCGTTACTTGTCAAAGGAACTCTATACTCATTAAGACCTCGCGTTGCAGGAACAATAGGACCTCTGTAATAACGTCTCAGGATTTGTTTCCTGATCGATCAAAAAAATGACGTTCAAGAATTTACAGAGAAAGTTAAATATTTTATAAGTACTTAGTTAAGAAATACGTCCTTTGATCTCACAACTCGGAAACGCAACTCAGAACAACTTCAAACGTAATTGGAAATATGTAGTTGTGCAAACTTTGAACTGGTGTTTTCTTTGGCTTTTTCTCATGCTTTGTATTAACTATGAATGTTCATTTACTTTGTTGGGACCCATATTCAAATATCTAATGATTTTAGTTAGACCTTTTCATACCGAAACATCTAAAGGTTCTTTTGACTGTCGAGCCTTTGAGAATTTTGAATGCCACCATAAAAGATTCGACTCTGAATGCAGAGCATTTATATTTCGTTTTACAGTTGATTCAATTTTCTAACGTCAAGTCATTGGAATAGTCTTCCAAGAAACTATGAAGAGGCAGCATATTATGTTTGAAATTTGATCACTTCCTAACATTAATCAAACTCAATTATTTAGTAGCTAGTGTTTCGGTACTAGTTTCAGATATAGTTTGTACAAGGAAGTGTTTGTAAATTATACGGAAAGTTAATTTTGCAGAGAATCCAAGACGGTATGACATTTCCCTTGCATGAAATTGGTTTCTGTATCCCTTGCAGTTTTTTTAATAAATATTTTTGTTTTAAATTATGAAAAAACTTTCATAGTTTCACATTATAATGTAGAGTTGGACTTAATTATACCAAAGCAGGTATCAAAAGATTTTTTGGTTACTTTTTGAAAGCATCATCATTTGTATTGTTACTAGAAGTGTTGGACACGTAGTCGTTTGATCATTTCCGATATTCATCAGTTAAAAGCAAGTGTTATGCGTACCATACATTTTTGTTTAATGAAAAGACGTTGGCATATCTTTATTTTGAATTGTTCAAATTGTAGGATAAAATTGATTGTAGTGCTTCTGAGGTATTTGGCGGAATTGAAGTTTGTAGCTTCGTTATAAGGATCTTTGTTTTATGTCATGAACAACCACCCTCAGGTTGATTCGAGGTACTTCAACCGCTGTAATTATCGAAATCGAAATGTTCCTTTAATCGACGCCTTTGTTTCTATTGACTGTATCGTGGACTAATGATTATCATGAGAAGTTTTGGATCTTTTGGACACTCACCTAGACAAAAACTAATCCACTACCGAAGCTCGCACTGATTAAAATCCACAGAACAGCGCACACAAGTAACTACCAAACATCAACCTCACAACTGTATCACAAACGATGATTGTCGCAGCTGGCGCTCCCAGAATGTTGCTGTCGGAAGAGCCCGGGAGAACTGACGCTTATTTAGGGGCGACTTATCTTTTAACTCGTATCCGCGTTCGAAGGACCAACGCGCGCACTCCAATCGCGGCCTGCCTTGGAACTGAACTGAACCGACTGCACGGGCTCCGCCGCTCGGCCTGCTGGATGCGTCGCCCCACCACCGAGCAGTGTCCCTTACCTGCACGCCGATTCTTATTGGTTTGGGATGGGAGGGTCGAGCACAATAGCGTGTATCGCCGGAAATCCAAAGAACTGTCGAAGCTCATCTAAACATAACAATTATTCGATGCCACGGATCTCCAGGTGTAAGAGGAGAAGCTGGCCCGTAACTTGACTCTTTGTTGTTGGCAGTCGTCGATGTAAATTAGAAGTACTTCCTGTTGGGGACGGCTAGGAAGTCTCGACTTGGATTTCGGGCCTTTATGATCCTTAACCACTATTTTACGCACTATGATTTCCACTTCGCCAACCAAATGAGCATCTACAGCTAGAAATTCATAGCTTGACTTAATTTTATAGCTTCTGTATTATAGTTATGTTCATAATCCTGTACAAAAAGCAACATTTTTGGGAACAGTTTTAGATATTGCAATTATATGTTAACCTGTAGAGTTTCATAGTACATTCTTTTGGTGTTAGATTACTTAAGAAAATAATACGAAGTGTGATTTTAGTATCTATTGTAAATCCTGAACTACAAAATCCACAGATATAGCAAAATCAACAAATGCCGGATATTAATAACATTTTCCCTACATTTATCCACCTGTAAACAAGGTATTACTTCAAAAATATTAACAATGTTAATTATTACGCTCAATTTTGTAAGTGTATAAAAAAAATTGTATGGCAATTTCGACATCGATATCGTAAAAAAATTTAAGGAAAGTCACACAGATGAAAGAAAATATATTTTTTTAAATCTTATTAAATGAAGACAAGCAATATTCTACAACACCAGAGATCTAGATATGCAATAGATATTAAACCTTACAGACGTGATTGTTAACAGCTGATACTGCAGGTGTCAACTACTCTATGGAGAAACATCCCATGTTCTTGTTTTTTACCTTTGACAAATTTTGATCAAGTAATAAACGGCTGTTACAAAGAGATCTTTTTGTTTCCACATATGTATTATTTCTACACTTAAATGCTATTTTAAAATTACATGTCGAAAGTTAGGAATAAGATGATTACCTCAATATTTAACAAAATACATAAAAAATAATTATTATATAAGTACGTTGTACATAATTAAAAAGATAGAACGCGAATTATGTTTTTGTACGAAACATTTTTTAATTTAGTACTACTGAAAATAAAAGGAAAACTTCTGACAGAAGGAGCGGGTAAATGTAGAAAAGTGAAGTTGTGAAATTCAAGAACAAAGCTAGAATTAACTAAATAGATGCTTCAAATCGATCGAATATTATTTAAGATTATAAAAGAGACACTTTTTCCAAACTGCATACTCATAAAAATTATGTAAACAACCAATAAAAATAAATATAATGACTAAATATCAATTAAAGTAACTAAAAATTTATAGAATCTTAATAATTTCAGTTATTATTAGCTGATTATTGATTGAAACTGTATACGTATAGTGAAGTCCTCTACAAAATATATTAAAAATATAACTCAATGTTGTGTTACTTGTAACTCAAAAGTTTCAATACCGTATGAAATTTATTTAGATAACAAATGGTTAAGTGAACATTACTGTGGACTTGGTTTAACAAAAAATCTTGTTATTTTGAGTAAAAATTTACTCATTTTATTACTATGTACAGAGTGATTCACTATATTTTGACCCCCCCACCATTAACTTTTTTATTTTAAGAGTTATAAAAAAATGTTAAATACAAAAGTTGCACGATTTTTTATGAACTATTCGAGAATGATAGTTGAAAAATATACAATGTCCAAACAAAATGGCTGCCGATGTTAACTTTGTTAATTTAAATGGAACACCCTGTATATTTTGTACATATTTAGATAGAACTTTCCCTGTCGAGCATAGTCATATAAGGTTTGTTGGGTCCATCTCTAACAATAGGCGAGATAATATCAAAAAAAACGAAAAGAAGGTTTTTTATTAAGAAAATAAGTGATCTTGTAGTTAATTGTTAGATCTCTTTCAGGCATTTCTGCCATTTCTCCAATTACGTAAAGATTTAGATCTAGTTGTAATATATTTTGACGTATGGGACATTGATATAGTGCAAAATGCGTATAGGTATTTTAACTAAATCGCACTAATTAGATCGTGAGAGGCCTATGAACAATGTTATATGGTATGCCGAGACAGTGACAGGTAATGTCATGACAACATTGTTATTGTTTGACAGTTTGTATTATTATTTAATTAAAATGGGTTACACAGAAATAGAAAATTGAAATATTATGGGAATTAAATTAGAGTAAAGTTTTTCTCCATATTCTATTTTAATTCGTTTCTTAATAATATTATCTCTCGTTAATTATTAGAGATGGACCCAACAAACTGTTCTATCCAAATATGTCAAAATATATAGGGTGTTCCATTTAAATTAACAAAGTTAACATTCGCGGCCAATTTGTTTTTATATTATCATTTTCGAAAACATAAAAAATCGTACAACTTTTATATTTCATACTTTTATAACTCTTAAAACAAAAAATTAATGGGGGAATCAAAATATAGTGAATCACCCTGTACTATATTAGGTAAAGTTATATTTTAAAATGTACTTTTTATTGATAAATCATGATGTGGGCCAAAAGGAGCTTATTTTTAGTCCAATGAAATAATTAATTTAATTTCTAAAGGTAGCAAACCTCTGTTTACAATAATTTCTCTCGTTTTCTCCATATGCATGCATCAATTCATTCTTACTATATTGATGGGCCTGTTTAGAATGTTTAATTGCACATCCACATAGAAATATAAGAATTCAGAAAAATAAAATAAAAGATAATGATAAAAAAAGGAAAAAAATATAAATTAAAGTTAATATAACATTACATTAATATTAACTTGGCAAGAAATATCTCATTTTGCTTTACTTATTAAAGATAAAACTTTAGTTATAAACGTAAATTTAAATGACGCCTTTAATAATACAAATAGTTTTTTATAGCAATTTAGTCAAACTCTGGAAATTCAAAACTATATTAGGTTAAAATTTGCAAAAAAAATATAAAACTTGAGGATTAAACATTTTCTTGAGTATAAAATTGATATTCTTCGAATATTTGACAAATATTGACTTGTCACAGAATTGTCTTTATTTCCGGCAAATTGTATCCTATTCTAATTAGTTGCGAAGCTAACTAGGACATTTTAATTGATCTGGAAATTTCAATTCAACACTTGATCTCTTCAAATCTCAAGACTTTACACTTAATGATAAGGTCGTTCGTAACTTTCGTGATAAATTGCTGTTTAAATTATTTTATGCATATGTCAGCTCTAAGTTTGAATACTTTTCTGGTATGAATTATTGCATTGTATAATGTTCAGATAAATTTAATTACCTCCGTGTAGACCTTTTTTATGCAAAATATGATAAATGTTCATATTTTCGGTTCAGGAAGTAGAAAAAATTGCGTACAAAAAAAATTGTAAAATCTACCCCATGATCCCGCATTTTCTTAGGCCCCTGTAGCAAATTTTGATTCGTTGATATATTATACCGATTATTAAGCATATAAATGGTAATACAACCCCAAAATTTCGTGATTTAATATTAAACCGTTTTAAAGTTATGAAACAAAAACTGTTTCCTGAGTTACCCCTTCAATGGGTTGTATCTCCCTTAGGGGCCGCCACTAACAAAAGCTCTCAATATTTAATTCATATTTCATATCAAGCTGATAGTGGAAATTCTTGATATTTTATTTATTCGGCTGATTATCCTACCAATATCGCAATTACCGAAATTTAAGCTCTTATACTGACAATATAATTGATTATTTTGACACGAAAGTATTAAATATCGCCAACAAAATACCCTTTTCTACCTAGCTTTAGACATTTAATTATATATTAGAGAATCTAGTCCCGCACAAAAGATCCAAAACTGTTCCTTTACGCCTATCCACTTCTGCTGTTTCTTGAAAAGAGTTGTACCTACGTCTATTCCAGCCTATTCGTGTGAGAATACCGTTGTTTACCCTTAGTACAAAGGAGCGTTTTGGAAATTGATGCCTCTAAACTGAACACGCTTTAGAATTCCATACTTGCATACTTTCGGGGGTGGAGAACGGGAAACGCCTGAGTGAGCGACTTTAGGGGGTTCCTAGGGTGAAAATTTTGAGACGGGTTGAAATTTAACGAGATACAGTGTGGTCTTTAAGAGTCTAAGACTGTACTACTCTGAGAGAAAAATCGAATACGCTGATAAAAATTGCAGAAATTGCCATAATATGTTTACATATCGGTAATGTAAATGACGTTACTGCTGCTAGCGCGTTTATTAAAGAACTAAAACTTTCTGAAAATAAAAGTTTTTTCTCTTTTTTTAATTGTCTCTAAAATCCCGGTCCGGGAATAGTTAATTAGTAATTAACGGTATAAAAAAAGCTATCGTGGGAACAAAGAGGCGTAGGTGATTTCTCTTTTCTTTTAAAATTACTGTAAAAATAATCTCTATTTAATACAAAAAGAGCGAATTCCCGAGCGGCTTTTGCCTGACCCTGAGACAATTTGTTTATAACTCTAAGAAATCACACTTGATGACTTCTCGTTTGTTCTTGCTGAACTATTATACTTTTGGAATAACTAATATAATTTGCAGGTATATTTATATTAACTATTTTTATAATTTTCCATACCGCGTTACACCTAACACTAAGAAATTATTTTTTGGACAGCTTTCTACAAATATGTTTTATTGTTTGTCAAAATTCATCGATGTTTCAATTGCAAAAATCACTGATCCTTCCGATAAATTCACCGACCTTTCCAAATTTCTACCGTCGAGCCACCAGAACAACATCGAGCACTGGCGCCGGAGGTGAATAGAGATACCCTGAATATTACGATCCTTCCCATTCCATCATCAACGGGTCTACAATCCGTTGATGATGCTTAGGGAAGAGT